CCCACTGAGGCTGGATTAGCAAGAGAACTACTAGCGAAGCCGTGAGCTACACTTAAATCTTTGCTCGTAGACAAAAAATTGTTAAATGAGATCAATCCACCTTGTGTTTTCAACAATTTGTCAAACTCTGCCTTAGGTATGCCTTGACCTCGAAAGATAGTAAATGGTTCCAATTGACGGTGCTTACTAAATTGTTCCGAGTGTAGTTGTACGATTTGATGATGAAGATCATGAATGAAGAAGCCCATTTTGATAATAGTATCTATTTCCATCAGGCGTAAAGCTCGGTTGAGCACTGAGTAAAGACAGCATTCGTGAGTATACCACCAGATGGGCCAATGATTACCATAATCTCTTTCGAATTTGTCAATATTGTTCAATTGAACAGCATTAGCAGCAAAGTTTTCGCGATAGTAGGTGGTAAAGTCTTTAATATGTTGCTCATTAAAGTTAATTGTCAATAAAATTTCTTTTAGTATCTGTGTATACATAAATGTTGGATCCAGTTGACCCAAATCTTGATTTAAATTTCCATTATTTGTTGACACAAAGCTGATCGAAACTAAATCTTGGTCACATTTTTATGCATCTGCTTTGAGTGCTTGGCAGATGGGTGGAATCGCAGAGAATATATCCTTCACTTTGGGCCATTGCTGCGTCCATTGTTTATGTTGTGTTTTATTTTTACAAAAGATATAAATGGAATTAATTTGAGCTATATCGTGCACGAGAGGCACAAACTTTTGACCAAGTTCATCTGAAATAATCATCAGAATTTTTTCTTCTTTGATGTCGGTAAGAAAATCGATACATTGATCAATATCGGTAAATGTATTGATGCTATTGACAACTCGTTGTAGTTCAACAATTGAATTACGAAAATCATTGCTATTCAATTCGTCGATGTGAGAATGTAACCATATAAGGACGAAGTTTTGAACGATACGAGAATTAAATGGTCGAGCAGTAGTGTGTTCATGTGATGCTGTTGGAATTGTATTCTTGGAAGATGTAGTCATTTTTTTAGGTCTTATTATGCCAATGAGGTCGCGATTCTTCATTTGTTGATTCAAATCCATATTGTATGATATAGTTTGCACCCTCTTTTTTCTAAATGTTTGTTTGTCGTTGCTCTTTTATTTGTTTTTCTGTTCTTATCAAAATATTTCACCCTGCTTTATTAAATAAATTGTCACAAGTACAAAAAGAATCAATAGAGAAATTCGTTAACAACCATGGAGAAAAGAAAAAGAAAAGTACAGGTTTGTTATTGTTGCTAGTATTACTAATCAGCAACAACAGTCTATGACAAAAACACCTTTCATTCTCTTCATTTTTTCTGTTCTCAAAGAAATCGTCAAAGAACTGTTCTATTTCTTCATATTATTTTGAATACATTTTTAAAAAAGTGAAAAGAATCTACAGCAAATTACAACACACTAGCAATTATAGAATTAATTTAATCATCCATTTCAATAGTATTTATTCTTAGTTTTCGAATTTTTCATTTAAATAAAATGGTTGAGATGCTCCTGAACAAATGAAGTATTTGTTTTCAAGAACGAAAAACGAATTTCGGCGATTTAATTTTCAAAGTGTAAGCTTCGATAAGGGTGTGTGTGTGTGTGTGTGTGTTTCTTCTTTATTATCACACCCACCCTGTATCACCAGCTATAGAATGATCCTGGACAAGTTACTAACGGCTTATTGTCTTGAGGAACTCATCCGAAGGCATACTAACTACATCACTAATCAGTATGTATAGTCATAAAAATTCTAAGATAGATGTCACGATAATGTGATGCTTATCTTAATCGCAAACCTAGAATCGTATATGGGAATGCATTAGGCGGAGAGAGGTGCAGATATCGTAGTTTTTAAAAAGAAAAAGACGAAAGAACCCAATTGTAACAACAAACTGGAG